ATTCCTGAGCTGTAAAAGGACTGGTTACTTGAGTTCCCTAAACCTCCTTCTCCCAGTCTCTAAGTTCCTTTTCTCAATTTCAAGTATTTCTCCAGCCTTTTTTTGCTTTGGGGTAACTTCCTGCATAAGCTGCCTCATCCAAGCTTAAAAGACACAATGTCTGGTTACAGCAATATTTGCACTGATATACAGTAACATTTATATAGGCAAATGTAAGGCAGAAAGTTACAGTTGATTACAGAGAAGAAATATAGAAATATGTGTTATAAACTAGACCAGACTCACTGCTTTTCAGAGCAGGACAGGATTCATGAACATCTTGGAGAAAAGTATTCGTTTTGAGCTTCTGCTGGAATTGTTACATACATAATAAATGTTTCATTTTACAGTGGATATAGCTTGATTGTTATTGTTCTGCTGAGTCTTGTCATATAAAACGTGGAAATAGGATTAAAAAAGAAATGCCTTTTGGGTACGTAAAATAATGGGTTGTAATTGTTCTCTCTGTTATCAGACTTCTGAATTATATGGGCATGGTGAGAAGATGCAAGAAGTGGCAGAGTTAGTCAAGTGGCTAATTTCCATTGGGGCGAAAGTTGAAACCATTGGAGTGTATCCGCTTCATGCTGTTATGAGATTGTGTATCAAAGCAAGTGAGTGACATCTGCAGCTAAAATAAAACAATGGTGGCCTTCATCAGACAACTGACAGCTAGAGCTTTTTAATTTTTATTTTTTTTTTTTAACGCTAATGAGATCAGATCATCTAGGTATAACCTTGCATGTGCCAGTAAGGCACTATTTAAAAATTGTTATGAACAGTCTCCTTGATAATCTGCGCCTGATAGTGGTAAAAGCCTAATATGGTTGTTCTCTTCCGTGGTTTGAAGTGAAAGTGTGATTGATGTGGGTCTTTCACAACCTGAGTAGATCAGCTTTGATGAAAATACAGTATTTCTTCCTGCGACCTCAGCATGGAGGAACAGTTTCTATAAGTGCTAAAGAGTTGTGAGTCAACATGATGCTGAGAGACAGTGAGAACATATCATCATATCTCTCACAATGCACCTGGCTTTTACCATGATTTAGTTTACCTATTTCTTCCCTCTCCTATGCCCTGTGTTCGAGAAAAGGTTTCATACAGATGCATCTTGCCTCTCCATAGGGGGAAAAAACCCAGGATCTGTTTCTGCTGTAGCTCTGTTTACCAGTTATAACAAGTGGGGTTTTTTTGATCATTTCAGGGAAGAACCATCTCTTCAGGTGGTTACTGACTCAGAGGCCAGACTTGAAGGATAGGATCAACCAGCAAGACAGAGATGGATCCACCCTCCTGCATATTGTGGCATCTTCCAGTGAATATTTCCAGAAACGCAGTAAATACAATTCTTTCTTTTTTTTTTTTTTTTTTTTGGAGGGGGGGAGTGGAGGGGGTGTGTGTTGTTTTGTTTTCGTATGGAAAAATGCATAATGGAAGAGAATTTCAGACCCTGGTGTTTACTATTTCACACTAAGGAAAAAAATGAGGAAGTTCTCTTATCTGAATGTCAACTTTGTAACAGCAACTAATACTTAAACATTTCAGCAATTCCCTTTTAAAATTATATCTCTCATTTGTGAGCATTTTCTTTGCTTTTTGGTTTGTTTGGCTATGACTTTCCCACAAGTATGCTGCAGTTTTTAGAATCATAGAAGTTACCTTTTAAAGTTTGATGTGTCCTTAAAATCACGTTAGACCACCTGGAGACCTATTCTGTTCTTTTAAATAGGTGAAAACTTAAAACCTAAGTAGCAGTGTACCTTGTCAGAGGAGGAAAATTATATGCTTTCCTTCACGTTTTCTGTGGGATTTCTTTTATCTTAACTTAGCCTGGCTTTTTTTCTTGTATTTCTTACTCTGCCCACTAGGTGGCAACAGGAAATAAGCATCAATGCCGAGATAACACCAGACTTTTAGGTCATTAAATGCGATGACATTCTGGTGATTCTGGTTAATAGTCTGAATGAAATGCGCACAACCTATATCTAAATAATTTCATTTTCTGGAAAGGTGTAACATGTCTTTTGCAGCAGTTCCGTCTGTTGCTAAATGACTCTTGCGTTTCCAGAAGAGACCGTATTTATTTATTTAAGTTTATTTATTTATAATTTTATTTGCATAGCATATATATTATACAGAGTATATAATTTTATATGTATTT